AGGGGGAGAGCGAGGCCGCCAGGCTGATTTCGGACGTGACGGCCACGGTGGGGACGGGGATGTTGGAGCTGAGGAGGATCGAGGCGGCGAGGGAGATTGCGGCCACGCTGGCCAAGTCGCCCAACGTGGCCTACCTGCCCGGCGGGAATAATATGATTCTTGGGATCAATCCTGGCAGCACCGTGGGCAGGTGATGGAGTTCTCTGTAAGTTTGGTCTCCTCCGTTTGCTTTTTTTTTAAAGCTTTTAATGGTAGTGCTTGGTACTTAATAACTGTGAACTGGGGGAGTTTGCGAAACTTTACTCGCATTGAATTTTGTTTGATAAAGGAACATCTGGGTTGGATTGCAATATGCTTGATTTGGGTATGTGATGTTTTATAGTGTTGCTATGTTTTGCTGCGGCATGAAGGTTTTATTATGGTATATAGTAGTTTGATTGATATGTTATGATAATTTGGTCGGTATGTGTGATTGATGACGATTTCTTTGAGCTCCTTTCTATTTTCATTATAGGTTTGCATTTACGTGTCATCTTTGTTTTTCACACTGAATTTTTTTTGTTTGGGTCTGTTCTAATAAAGTCAGATAATGTTGAAATATTGCGGAGCTTATTTTTTAATCCACATCTCATCTAATATTCCAGTTTGGTTGGGTCTTGCCTAGACATTTTCTTGGTGGTAGTGCACAATAAAATCACTGTCCTAGTTACTAATTTCTTTGTTTTGGGCTTTATGTTTTTCACTCTCGTAAATGGAGAGCTAGGAATGAACTTGAGGCTAAATAGATTCTAACAATATCAGATCATCAGTCATGGTTTAAGAAAATTAGGTTACAAGTAGTTGTTAGCAATGACTGACTGGTGAAGTCTCTGAGAATTGATTTCATGCTTTATTTGAATTGTCTTTTACTTGCTTGTGGGTGTCTCTATTTGCATTTTGTTTATTTTTCATGTCTCTATTTCCATTTCATGTGCTTTGTATTTGAGTAATATTCGACTTTTGAGTTTATCGTTTGAGCTTATATGAATGACCTGTGTTATGCTTAGGGTATTGATAATCATAGATGAATCATCTAGTGGATTTAACAAATAGTTAGCTTATTTTGTTTAATATTATGAAACTCATTCATTTTCGTTTCATTTCATTTTTATGAGTTTGCGTCTAATCTGGTGTATGACAAAATCAATGACCTAGTCACTAACTTTATTATTAGCTTCATTTTTCCCCCTCCCGAAAAGCTATTCCTTTTCCTACTGTGAAGCCTTTTCAGTTTACTGTTTACCTAGTGAACTTACTTTACTTCCTTGTGTTCTTCCTGTTTAGTCAACTTATTTTGCATCTGGTGTTCTTCCTTTTGACGTCCATATTTTCATATTATCTAATGTAGTTGAGTCACTGACTCTAGTTGCATGATGAAAATTTCCGTGTTAAGAGTTACATCACACAGATCTCCCCCAAGAATTGAGTTGCGTCATTTACATGGTTAAATACCATTAGTTTAGGCTTTATAGTAAAATTGAAAAGATAATCAGCTTCTTGGCCCAAAGGTTATAACTATGTTGAAACTAATCCCTCTAGTCAGGGATAGTTTGATTTGGGATGCCATATTCATTTAGAAAAATTCCTCAAGGACCCAAAATATGAGACCAATAGAGGGGACAAGTGAGGTGTCTCCCACCTATTGGATAATGAGCTGGTCATCATTAATGATGGCCAACTCATTATCCAATAGGAGGGAGACATCTCACTTGTCCCCTCTATTGGTCCCATATTTTGGGTCCCTGTAGCAAAGCATCTTTATACCACTTTGATTCCAAACCCAAATCAGTTACCCATTTAACTTGTTCCTCTTTAGAACCTCAAATCCGTTTGGGCTGTTCCATTTCAATCTCAAACAAAGCCCATTTCAAACCTCTTCTCCTCCTCTCTCTCCTCTCCAGCTTCTCATTCACCCTCGTTGTCTCCTCTATTTTCTACACTGATATCCTCTTCCTCTTCATGTCCCTCTCACTTTCTGACCACCTTGTCTTGGAGCTGAGGAGATCTCGGATGAGGAGAAGATCCATTTTCTGACCACCTTGTCTAGGAGCTGAGGAGATCTCGGATGAGGAGAAGACCGGAGAAGGAAGAGAGGATGGCGAGGGAGGGATTGATTGCAGGAGTTGATGCATGAACATGTGTGTTTCTCGATCTTGATCAGATTTGAAGTGAGAGAGGATTAATTGGTTCAAGTTCTTGACTATTAATTGTTGATCTGCTCATGTTCAAGACTTGGCTTGATTTCTTGTTCCTCCGTTCTTTTTCTTTTTTTGCTTAGTAAGTAATCTCATTCACCAATAGTAAAAGAAGCGCAAAACTGTTTATGTACAAGAAATCAGCATTGGCAGATTATGCCAAGCAGAACTACTCGAACTAACTAAAAGAAAGACTCTCTCCGATACTAACATCAATGGTAAATGTCATAAACCAAAACAAAATCCCATTGCCAGGATCATCTTCTTCTAGGTAAGAGTTCAGGGTCAATCCTCATAGCCTGGCACCAAACTCTATTAGCCTTTGTCTCCTTCAAATGCACTACTCTGCTGCAAAGAACTTCGATCGCAAAATGATCTCCTGCAAGCATTGCTCCATTGAGATGAACTTACGCTTAGAACATTTTTATTCCTAGATATCCACAAATGATACATGCAAGCTGCAACCGAAGCTTTCTGAATGCTGTGAACTGCAGATTTTCCTCTCATAACCTTCTCCATCCATTCAATGATATCATTCAATCTACAGGAGGCATCTGGTAATTGAATGAATCTCATGACAGTTTTCCAAACTCGTAAACTGTAAGCACACTCAAAAAAGAGGCGGTTCTTCGTTTCAATTTGATTACAGCAAAGTGGACAAGTTTTCTCATCAATAATACCAAACCTCTTCATTTTGTACTTTGTAGGCAGCCTATCTAAACATGCAATCCAAAATATAAATGCATGCTTGGGGACTGTATAAGAGGACGACACCAATCTAGTCCAATTCTTTTTGTCACCAGTTGTAGCAAGAAGTTTGTATGCACTTGAGACACTAAAAGCTGGCTTGTGCCATCTGCACCCCGAATCATCAATATCAATACACTTTAAAGCTTCATCTCTTAATTTGAGCAATTTTCTCAACTGCCATGAGAAGTGAGGCTTAGGTTGAATGGACCAGAAGTCACTTTTTTTGAGGTAATAGGCATGAATCCACCTTACCCACATAGTATCACACTGCAGAGTGATGGCCCACATATGCTTTAACATGAGTGCATTATTAAGCAATCCTATAGAGTACAAGCCTAATTCACTAGAGCATTTAGGAGAGTAGACTTTAGTCCAAGAAACCTTAGCTTTTCTGTGATTATATAACATACTTGAGCATAGATAATCTCTGCGGATTTGCTCAGCATTCTTAATGACTTTTTTACGCAGAATAAAGATATTACACCAAAAATTCTGCATTCCATATAGAATAGACCTAATCAACTGAAGTCTACCAGCAAAAGATAGCATTTTGGATGTCCAACAGTTAACTTTGTTGGTCATTCTCTCAATAAGTGTTGCACAATCTTGAGAGGACAAAGTTTTTGAAGTGAGAGGAATTCCAACGTACCTCACTGGCGGTTCACCTACAGCAAAATGCAGCAGATCGAGTATTTTCTGTCGGACATTATAGTTTACTCCTCCAAAATACACTTGACCCATTCATTAGCAGATGAACCACAGGCATGTGAGAAATGATTAAATCTGTCCATATCGCCTTGAGAGAATTAAAATCCCCTCTACAAAAGAGCATGAGATCATCAGCAAAACAGAGATTTGTGATCTGTATTTCAGAGATCGGTCATTCCCCTACCAAGGTATTCCATAGCTAGCACAAACAAGTAAAGGTGAAATGGGATCACCTTGTCTCAAGCCTCTAGCTCCTTCAATTATAGGACTCATTTGTCCATTGATACAAATAGAAAAAACCACTGTTTGGACACATTCCATAACCCATTTCCTAAATCTATTGTAGAAAGCCAAGGATTTGTAAGAGCTGATTCAAGAAATCCCAGTTTAGTGTATCATAAACTTTTCTTAAATCGACTTTCAGTACACGTCCAGGACTGATTTGCTTTCTTCCATATTTGCGCATCGATTCCTGAGCCATAAGAATGTTATGGGATATGCTTCCGCCTTGAAGGAAAGCCCCTTGAGCATCACTGATTAATGAACCAATAACATGCTTTAACCTATTAGTTAAGACACTGGACATACGCGCGTAGAACACATTGCGACATGCAATAGGTCTGTGTTCAGAAGTATAATTTGGACATGCAGACTTGGGAACAAGAGTTATAGTAGTAACATTTAAGGTTTTGATGAATATAGCATGCTTCATATTTGAGTAACTTCAAGAACTCCTTAAGATTATTAGCCTGCTCTTGAGCTTTCAATGCAGAACAAGAAGGATTCAGCATCGAAGCAGCTTGAGAAGATAGCAATTTCTCTCTCTAGCAATTTGCACTCTCTGGCCAATGCCACCAAAATACTTCTTATTGAATTCTTTAAGCCCCCACTTTGACAGCCTTGAGTTTTCTAGCAATTTGATGTAGCAAAGAGCCTGAAACTTGCTCAGACCAATGTTCATGAACAACAGATAAGAAGAGCTCATGATCACTCCAACAAGCAAGGAATTTAAAAGGGGGTTTTCTTGGAGAGGGTTCATAAAAATTCATCAATGCTGGACTGTGGTCAAATATTCCAGGTCGTAAAAATTCAGCATCGACGAAGGGAAGGGAAAGCTATTCATCCAAGCTTGATCAATGAGCGCTCCGTCTTAACTTGCAGTGAACATGCTTATTGCTCCGTGTATAGAAACATCCTTTAAATTGAAGATCAGTAATCTGTGCATCTCTCATTACAGACAATAAGCAGATCAATCACCGACGGTAAGTGGAGGAATAGGAGGCGGCGGAACCAGGAAGATCTCGATTGAAAACCAAGTAAAGAAAAAAAGCCCTAGGCGCACATAATCAATACGTGTGGGTTTGAGAGAATGTCATTCGTGAAACCCTAAGTTGGTTTACAGCCCTTGCGACGACGAAGAAATTGAAGCAACGTAGAGCGAAGAGACCATTCTTTGATGTGGAAGGTTTATCAGTTGTTTTTCTTGGTGTAGGTGTTTTCTTGCTTGATTAATAGTTAGTTACTGATGATGATGGAAACTGATTGTTCACGTACAATGCGTGAGTTCAATTCTCGTCTCGGTGATGGATTTTTCGATATAAAAAAAATATATTACTACGTATTTCGTCATATTTATTAATGTATGTAGCACAAGTGCGCTCGGAGTAGGGTGAGCTTTTTCCAAAAAAAAAAATTTTGCCGTCAAGCAAAAAATTGCACTTTAACATTCAGTTTGATGAGTGTCAGCTGCTTAACAGAATGGAAGCATTTGGTTTTTTTCCCCCACTACATCCATCGCAATTAATTATATAAATTTTGGCATACCAATTCAGTTTTGACAATAATTTGACAGAATGAAGAGAACATCTGTAATTTGTAGAATGTAAATTTTAATTATAAACCCAAAAAATTTTACTTCAAATTACAAAAAACACCCGCTAACTTTTATATGCATGTTCTCATAGACCAATTTTGTTATTTTTTAAACGCAAGGTATGTTGTTGTACCTATACATGAAAATTAAAATACGAAAAGAGCCCTCGTCCAGAATTTGATTGTGTTTCCGCTCCGTCCTATCATACTCAGGTGTAGGATTGATAGTTCTCAAAAAGAAAAGAAAAATGAATTATTATTATTCGCCAATGATTTATAAAGGGTTTTTATGATTCTGATTTGTTTTTTTTTAATTTCCTATCACTGATTCGTTTTAAAATTTGGAATTCTAATAGAGCAATGACTATGAAGATTTAGCACAGTACAAAATCTAGGATTTAATACGAGGAGAAAAAAAAAACTTCTTCCCTTTCTTTCTCTGGTCAATTTCGCAATTTCGGTGATTCTTTTTGGGTTTCCTAGCAAGTGATTTTGTTTAGCACGAATGGGAGCATTTGGAGAGGGGTCCTGACTGATTTATGTGATTATTTATGGTTTTCTTATGTATGGTTTTGATATACTTAGTAAATACTCAAGTGCCCCTGAGCATGAATTCATGGTTGAATCTTTTCCTCCTTGGTTGTTCA